TTTGTTTTATTTCGGTTTTTGTTTTATATTTGATTATTATATATGTTTTGGAATTTTTCAGTTACATTTTAAGCAATAAATATCATCATCATGCAACGTTTTTTATATATAATAATTTTTTTATTATTATTATTATTATTATTTATTTATTTATTTTTTTTTTTTTTTTTTTTAAAAATATTAATTATTTCATTTCATTTCGTTTTTTATGTTATGCCAATTTTTTTTTTTTTTTTTTTTTTAAGTTATTTAAATTAGATGCAAGATAAATAAAAGTAGGAGAGAGAAAATGAGAGAGACAGATTAGGTAGGAAATTGAAAATATAGGATAGCGGATATGATGTTATGAGCGAGATCGTAATTTACATCAAAGAGGTACATAAGGATGAGGCAGGCAAGTGTTTACGTAAGCGGGCATACATGATGAATGTAATGCAGAAATTATTGGATATAAGAAAAAAAAAAAAGATGATGTTAACGTACATTTGCATTTGTGTGCGTGCATGTGTATGTGTTGTATATGTATATATGTATGTATGTATATGTATATATGTATATATATATATATATATATATATATGTTTATGTTTATATAGTTAGTAAAATACCGTTTTACAAAATCGTTTAACAATTTTTACCGTTTTATGAATGCAACGTGCATAATGATGTATTTTTGTATACATTTTTTTCATTACATTTGGTTTGCGTTGATGATTTCATTGCAATGATTAAACGTTTTGTTTTAATTGATTGATTTAAAAAAATTTTGTTTAATTGAAGGGTTATTACACAAATCGATTTGAAAATTTTATTATGTAGTATGCGCATGAAAAAAGAAAATATAAAAAAAAGAGAAAGAAAACAAAAAGCATGAGAAACGTGAATAAACAAACATATTGTCAGATTAGATTAGAAAGAAAGAAAATAAACAAAAAAAAAAAAAAAAAATTAATAAATAAAGAAAAAAATAAATAAAATAAAATATAAACTATATTGCCAATAAAATTTTTGTAATTTTGTTATAAAACTTTTTAATAAAATATCAAATAATCAAATACTTAAAAAATATATATTTCAAAAATTATTTGTCATAATAAAAATCATGGAACAATGCGTTTTTAAAAACGCATAACAATATGCATTACATTTCACTTATATTTATAAAGGTGGTACGAGTGTATCAAAGGATTAATGAAAGATAAACACAAGAGAAATCATTAGAAACGTATCCATTTTGATACACACATAAGAACCGCAGTGCAGATAATAAATTAAAATAAAATCAATCCTAAGCATTCGCTTATGAGTTGCAACCAATGAACTAACATTTAAAAATTTTTAGCGCAAAGTTGAGGCAAAACTGAACCGCCTTGCATTAAGATGTTCATCATCATTTTTTCGCCATTTATTTACTCTCTCATAAAAATCCAAAAACATATTTTATCATATTTTATGAAATTTAAAGAAAACAGAAAAAAAAAAAAACAAGCGAAAAATTTAAAATGTCAGTTCATTTCGAATCAATTCTCTTTCTCTTCTGAAATAAATTGAAAATTTTGAAAGATGACGGGAAACGATTTCGTTCGTTATATTCATGTTTTCCTGCAGTGTTTGCTTGCAGTGTAAATTGTTGTGCGATGACGAAATGATGCAAGTTGTGCTTGTTATTATTATTATTATTATTATTAATTTTTATTATTATTGTTATTATTATTGTTGTTTTTCTTGTTGTTTTTCTTGTTGTTGTTTTTGTTGTTCTTGTTGTTGCTGTATATGTGTAGTAGCCAATTTCTGTTTCATATTTATGTATGTATCAATCAAAAAAAAAAAAACAAAAAAAAAAATCATTAATTTACATTGAAAGCCAATTTTGTTTAAAATAATTACTTAAAATAGGATAAATATTTTTCTTAAGAATTTGAAAGTATTTACCCTAAATTGTGATATGTACTATTGTACTTAAAAAGTTGTTGTAGCAAATGTTTTACGCTTTAAATGAAGGATTACGAGGGCACTCACATTTTCAACAGTTGATTACACTTGGTTCATCGGTTGCGTTGCGTCCAGTGGCGCTGTGTTCATCGAATTTGTGTTCATTGCAGTGTTACTGTTATTATTGTTATCGCTTATATCATTATTATCTTCATCTTCGGGATCGAATGAGGGTAATTCAACTGATACTCGTATCGAGTTACTATCATTGCCGTCAGTATTATCATTACTTGTAGATGTATCGCTATTAACAATACTGGTGCGAGCCTGATTACCCAAGTTACCTTGTATAGCAGTACGTAATACAGCTGGTCCGACAATGCGAAAAATTTTCGTAAACATTTGATTAACCTGATCATCAACTTGCTACAACAACATAGGGGAAAATTTCGAAGGGGAAAAATTTTGAAAATTTAAATTTTTATTAAAGTTTGTTTGTTTGTTTGTTTGTTTGTTTTTTTTGTTTTTTTTTCTGTGTAGTGTAGTGTAAAAAGTTATGTGTTGGAAAAATGTTTTGTCTTTGCAATTTTGCCGGCATGAACAAAAAAATTTTCAAAGCTTAATAGTAGTGTGTCCACATAGAAGGGACGAGCAAAAAAGAACAATTAGCTGTCGTAAAGCGAAAAAAAAGTAGATCGCAACCGTTGATATTCTGCCTGTGCCTACCTAAAACAACTTATTTACTAATCATAGACGTGCTAATAAATCGATTAACCGCACGAGTAGCCAAGCAAGTAAGATTCGCATCTACCAAGTTTAGTGATCGCGGTTCAAATCTCGAGCGCGGCAAATTTACTTTGGTCATTGCTACAGCGAATGCTCAGCCAGTAAAAGAAATAACAATGACTGTTGGGTCACTCAATCTAGGAGCTGCTGCGACCACATCCGTAGCTCATTATCTTTCCTCACTTCGTTCGGACCGTACAAGGGAGACAATTCCCGTAGTGAATGGTCGTATAAAGAAAAAAGATTTATTCTTATCCTGATCACTTTTCAAACACTGAAGTAAATTGCAAAATCAATCCTAATAAAAATCTTTCTTTTCTTCCTGAAAGCATTCAATTCTTGTAATTGTCGCAGCAGAGAATCGATATGAGACAATTTTATATATAATTAGCCACGCCCATCCAGCATTATAGAGTATGAAACAAAGATAATGGTACACCCAACTCATTTTTTATACTGCCTTTTTTTACACGATTTCGAAATAAGACGGTCCACCAATGGTAGCAAATAAACTTTTTTACACGAATTTCTTTTTTCTGGAACAGATCCATAAAGGAAAAAAAAAATCTCTTTTCAATACTAATTTTGACACTTATGTATACATACAGTGCAACGAAATGCAATTGAGGGAAAACTGTGATCAGAAGTCAGTCGCTTTATGCCCAAATATGGGTTAGTGAGGTGCTCCACGGCTAGTTGGCCGTTAATAATGAGCGTTGATGCCACTTTAAACGAAAAAAAAAAAAAAAAAATCATTTCATCTATATGTCTATAGTTAGGGAATTACGTAGAATATTTTGGAAAATGTCGATTTTGTGCAGTTTTGTGAGTGTTTGCTTGAAAAGGTTCAATCTTTGACCAAAGAAAATGCACTCTTTATACCTTATAGCACTTGTGGTACAAAGTTATATTAGGATGTGTTGACGAAATTTGGTGCACTGCACCGGCATGTGTTCATCTGAGAACAAGCACTATTAAGCACAGTTTGGATGGGATCATTTTTTCGACCACTTTCCATTCAGTGCCTAATTTTGAAAATTTTAACGATTTTTGAATAAGTGTATTACGCGAAATGGTGTCGGGTATTTAATGGTGGACCGTCGTACACTATAGTGTTTTTACTCGTACGTATTTCCTTATGGAATGTCTTATTAAAGTTGAATACATTTATATTGCCCTACAATGATATTGAAAATAAAATAAATTTTTTACCCATTTCGAATTTTACCAAGCCCAGAATTGTTATTTTATATTACACCTGACCATTTAAGAAGTCATTTAAATCAAAATGAAATAATCGATTTTATAAAAAATTTACAATGGTCTAGCCTTTTAAAAGATTCTCTTTGCTTTCTGTACGGTACATGGGAAAGAATCGAAAGCGACATTAACCAGTTAACTGCTTAAAACGAGTATATATGGGTCGTGAGAAAAGGACAACATATCGAGTTATAATGAGCATACATGTTATCATCTGTTTGTTTGCCGTTGGGTGACTTCCCCATACAAGTCTATCATACCATATTAGAGTATTTAAGAATGTATGTATGACATTGTTTCAAGTTATTTCATCATAACTTAATTTCATCTTAAACGAAATGGGCATTTTCGAAAAAGATCGAAACAATTAACTGATTAAGCGAACGCATTATTCTAAAGCTGCTTCTAGATGCTTGTTGCTGTTAGTTGAATTTTAACTTTAGATTGAATTGTTTTTTATATACTAAACCAAGAACCCTAAATAAGTATAATATAGATATGTGCTCATCTATATATATGTATATATATATATATATATATATGTTTTTATGTTCTATCTTTTAAGAATTACTTTAAAGAGGAAGAGAGATATACTAATTAATTGAAAAATGGATTTAGCTTATTCTCAAAATGAAGCAAAGTTGAGTTACATAAGGTAGATGTAAAATTTTGAATTTTTCAAAGAAAAAAAAAAAAGAGAACATATTTTATCGTATTGTGTTATAGTTCTCATGCCTTTCGTGTGGTGCTAGCAATCTATTATGATTGAATGTATGAAACAATATCAAAACTACAACAACAAATATTAGATTTAAGTTAATTGCTAATTGTTTGAATAGATATAAAATAAATGATCAATATATAGATGCCTACATACACACACACACACACACACACATACAATTCAATACCATCAACTACAGATATACGCATAATGTATATATATATATATATATATATATATATATATATATGTAGATATATTAAAGAGATATATAAAATTAATGCATAAAAATAAATATAAAAGGATAGAAAATTGTGTATGCAAAATATTGTTGTAAAATAGTGAAAATAGTTAGCTTTCATAAACATAAAAAAAAAAAAGAAACAAAAATTTATAAAGGAAGGAATCACACTTCCGTTGTAATCGCTCGTATAGTTGCTTTCATTTTATCATTATGCATAATTGATAGAGTCGTCGATTAGGCTTCTGGTGCAGTTCATATTGGTGCGGGACAAATCTACAGATACAGTTTTATATGCGTGTATAGTATGAAATTTTCATTAATTAATTGGCAGTAATTTAGTTATTTTAACTGTTGTACTTTCATCATCATTTATCGAAACATTTAATGCCGTTGCCGTTGCCGTTGCCGTTGCGTGGGAGTTGTCATTGTTAGCGACGAGATCAGTTCTGGTTGTAACAAAATAATTTGTAGAATTTAATAAACGATTTATATCATTGATTAAAGCAACAAGTTGTGATTCATCAACATCTCGCGTATTAACGTCAACTTGATCATCATTATTTTTATCATTCAGTTGATCATTGTTCAAATTATTTAAAGATGTTGTTAAAACACTTGCGATTGTTGCCGTTGGATTGTTATTATTATTATTATTATTATTAATGTTACTATCGTTATTATTGTAATTATTTGAGGGAATTGCAGTTATTGGATTGTTAACGGTCGTGCTAAGGATAACAGGAGATGTTGTTGTTGTTGTTGTTGTTGTTGTTGATGATGATAATGTTGATAATGTTGATGATAATGCAATATTGGTAGTGGATGTTGTTTTGGGAGGTACTATGTAAATGGGACTATTGGTTGTGGTGGTTGTGGTGGTGGTGGTGGTTATAGAGGATTCGGGGGTGCTAGTATCCGAAGTGCTAGGGAGAGCGGTAACAATAGTAGACATGGTGGTGGCGTTTGACACTATCGCCTCGCGCGCACTCACATTATTATCATTGGACATAGCAGCAGCACCAGCAGCACCAGTAGTAGTTGTGATGGCAGTAATGGATGAATCCTCTTGACTGTTTGGTGCAAATGTTGGCAAATCAATTTGTATTCTGGTATTTATACCATTATTATTTGTTGTCGCTCTATTATTATCATTCGCTTCATTGTCTACTTTATTAATATTATTGTTATTAGCATCATCAGTATCATCGTTGTTGTTGTTATTGTTATTGTTGTTGTTATTGTTGTTGTTATTGTTGTCGTCGTTGTCGTCGTCGTCGAAATCAGCTGCCAAATTTGGTCTTTGCGGCGATGAACGATTGCTTAATACTGAACGTAATAAATCTGGTCCGGCAACTCTTATCACTTGCGCTATAATACGATTCACTATAGAGTCGATTTGCTATAAAAATTTGTGCGAAATTTTTAATTTATAAATAAACAGTTGATATGAAAATTTCATATATTATGTATATATGTTTGTGCGTGCTTGCAGTGTGTGAAGAGTAGGTGTGCCTTTGAATATATTCAATTTTTATTGTTGTTGTTGTTGTTGTTGTTGTTGTTGTTATTGTTGTTGTTTTTGTTGTTTTTGTTCTTGTAAATTTTATTTAGAGAAGATAGAATGATAAAGTGCTTGCTTTTACGTCTTACACTCACACCTAAGTGCATGCATGCAGATTATTATTATCTATTCGTCCCTTATCAGCCAAGAGTTTTGCGTTTTTCTATGACATTTTTTGTGTCAATTTTTTGAAAGGGAGCCTTTTGTCTTTCTGTTTTGTTGTAGTTAATTTTGGAACTTTTGCTTTTGCTTTTGTTTTTGTTTTTGGTTTTCATTTTAAATTTCAAATAATGTTAGTCACATTGAAGGTGCTTTTCTAATTTTCAATAAAATGAAATAATTAATCAATGGTCAATCGTTAACCACATATGTATGTACTCGGCCAATTGCATTTCAAATTTTTTTTTCAATGCCAATATCATTTAAATGCCAATTTGCAGTTTGAACGTTTCGTTGGGACACTTGATAAACTTAAAAAAATATAAATAAAAGCTTGTATACACTTAGCACATATATAAAATACATGAATATTGAAAAATATATAAAATATATGAATATTGAAAAAAATAAAAATAAAATAATTATTTAATTAATAATTATTCTCAATTATTTTGCTGTGGCTGTGATGATTGCCTTTGACTTTCTTCAAATTCTTTGTCCGGTTCAAAGACGATGAGTTCAGCGGGTAATGTCATATTCGTATTTACATGATATTGAGAATCATCAAGATTTTCTGGTCGTAGCCGTTGACGCGGGAAACCGCTATTGTTATTTAAAGCGGTACCCAAAACCGCTGGGCCCACTTGCTGCAGCACGTTATTGACAATACGATTTATTTGATAATCAACTTCCTGTACCACAAATCATGTACAGAGATTCACAAAACATATACATATGCATATAAATATTAATAAATAAATAAAATACATACACAATAATAATAATAATAATGTTGCTGTTATCATAAGCTACCTAACTCACATATAAGCCTATACATTATATTTAAATATACACTTGTGTCTCATATCTTCTTTTTTTTTTTTTTTTTTTTTTTGCTTTTCTTTTTTTTCTCTTCTTTTTGAAATAATAATCAAAACAAAAAAAAAAAAAAACTCTTTTTTTTTTTTTTTTTTTTCTTTGATTTTGAATCAGCTTTTTGCAATAACTTTTGGGCAAATAAATTTTATAAATATTTACCTTTGTTATATCGGGAAATAATTCACGTAATAAACCAATTGTTCTCTTATTGCGTTCAGCTATTAATGCTTCTTGTTCTTTGGATCCCAGTGTTAAAACATCGATTTCCTATAATCAAGAAGAAAAAAGAAAGAAAAATAACATAAAACACACAAAAAGTCAAAATCGATTTCGTTACCGAAAATGTAAAAAAAAATCTTATTGTTTAATTTCTTTCATTGGTGTTAATTATTGTTTAAAAAAAAAAAAAAGAAAAAAAAAGTGAAAGTTGTTTTACATGCTATTGTTGTGTGTTTTTTTTTTTATTTTTATTTTTTATTTTTTTTTTATTTTTTTTTTTTTATTTTTGCTAAGCCAAAACCAAATTACCAAGTTTCGTTTAAATTATGCAATTGTTCAATTTAAGCAAAATCGTTTGCTATTTTGCATGTTCCGTTTCTTGCTTATGTTACATGATCGGATGCTGTAGTGTAGTTAAAGTATCGTAAGGTTAGTTCATTATTTCATATTTTATATGATTAATGTGGAATTGCCCTTTAGAAAGTGAATGGTCAACTCCGCAAAATATTTGCTTTATTATATCACAGTTAACAGTTAGCATAGTTCTTATGTTAAAAATTTCGCGATTTATCGAAATTAAATTTTTTTTTATTGCAAGCATTACATTATTTTTTATAATGAATAGTATTCTCGTAATTCTTACAGGAAATTACTGAGATTTGTCTAATCAAACCTCGATATTTTTGAAAGAGTTTAACTCTTTAAGTAAAACTGTTAGCTAACAAGAATCAAATCTAGCCACTATGCGGTCAAAATTAAAGCACAACGATCGGCCGGATACGACGAAAGGCCTAAACGCTTATGGGTGACGGAAGTGTGTACAAAACTGTCGACATCCTCAAACATAGCTGTAATGTGGGCTGTGTAGTGCTCACGTATAGGTATATCAATGGCAAGTGTCCTACAGATATAAAAGAGATTTGTTTACCAAATGAGTCCTTTAGCAGTACTACAAGGCTTTCTCAGCGTTTCCACCCACTCGCCTTAGAGTTGCCTTTATATCGCATGGCACATTATAACGACTCACCATTCTCCACTCACACTGCAAGCCCTTGGGGGTAGCGAAACCGTGTGAATCATAGACGTACCGAAACCGTCACTTTTCCCGGTTACGCCAATAACGGTTAGTTGTTTGCTTTAAAACTCGCATCTATTAGAGCTGCTCAACGATGTGTTTATGGCCTAATATCTATAATCCGGCAATGGGATTTTCTGTTGGAAGCTTAAGAGGTGCATCGGAAGAGGAAAGCGGGCATTTTCTTCTCCCATTCGGTTCTATCTCTAAGAGGCTCTTAAACTTACTCAAGCCCTGATAGTACTACGAATTGTTTGAAGGCACGGATGCAGTTCGATCTATGCTATGTAATGACATCGTTGGAAGCATTACTTCCTCGGGAAAGGATAGCTCGCTGCATGGCCTACCAGGATTTGTGAATCGTCAAAAGGCAAGCATGGCAACGGTTGTAAGGTTACATCGAAAGTTGTACAGAGCGGCGTAAGTCCACAAGGTGACTAATTTTGAAATTGTACAAATCCACGGAGGTTGGGTTATATAAAATAGGTTTGCTTCAGGCATGGCGATGCACTTCCCATCAGACTATAGGGATGAATGCCTAATCTTGCCTGACTGCTGGGTAAGGCCCTTCGAGGAATATCGTGGTGGCTGTGGGGAAGCTGGAAATGTCACGAATGGATTTCATAGGAAATCAACGGTAACAATGCTCCAATAGACAATCGTGGAAAAAGCTTTTGAAATTGTTAAAGAACTATTGCGATAGAGTCGGCGATCAACTATCGACTAATAAGAAGAACAAGAAGACAAAATCTAAACAGTTTTGCAAAATTATCATCGATACGTAAAAGCGATAACTTCTCTTGTAAATTTTTTTGAGATATTTTGGTTGATAAGCATCGCAAACCATCGCATTCTGAGGGAATTGAATGTTTATCAAAAGGAGTAGCTAGTCTCGATCATATTAAAGTATACTTCCAAAAGCTGGGCTTGCTTCAAAACCCATGCAAGTTACTACTAACCCTGCCATTGGTTGAACGAATGGAAAGCAAAGAAGAAAGTTACACTTTAAAAGCTATACTTACTTATAAAGCTAATCATATATTGCGTCTTATGCTTTGCATATTTAAATTATATTTTTATTCAAATTTATCGAGAAAGGTTAGATAGAAAAAATTTGAAAATTGTGATTGTGGTCGTAATGTCAAGAGACCGATAACAATTCAGCATACAAGTGAACCTGCACAGAGGTTGGCAAGCCTGGAAGTTTTCAATGCTTTACAAACTTACGTAAATGTATTCTAATTGCTGTAGTGGTTATGTAGTGAGTGGCCTTATGAAATTCGCACAACAAAAAGTAAGCCAGTGATCCTATTTCAAAATCCGTAAAGCTGCTCTTCAATCTATCACGAAAATTGCGACAACATATTTATTTGGAAAATAAAAAGTCACCGTTCAGCAAGTCACTGAGCCAAGTGAAAGATTGTGTAACCGGAAATTCCGGCAATCTGCTGTATGACCCAAACGTAGTATAAAATGAAAATCGGATCATTTAGCAATTATAAGACTATATAAGCTATAATAATAAAATCTATCAACTATTATATATATAGGGTTTGACAATTTCATCAATCTGATGTTCAATTTTACTAAAATTGCTAGTTTTGCGCTACTTCTCATAAAGATTGATTTTAAGATGCTATCCATGCCTTGGTTACTGCATACTAAAAAAGATTCTCAATATTCGCAAAAAATTGTGTATTTATCGAATAAACACCTCACCTATATTATGCCACGTCTCCTTAATTACAAGTATTCTTAGAAGATCTTAAGTGTTTGACTATAATTACTTAGTCACGCTTGTTATTTAACAAAAAATTTACAAATCATAAAAAAGTATAATAAACAATTATTTTACTCGTTTTAGGTAATAAAATAATGATGGGTTATTTAACGGGTAACATTGCGGTAAGCTTTTCAGGAATCGAATTTGTTTATTCGCTAAATAGATGGTCGGAATCTTCGAGAATGTTGGGAGAAAAGTTCATCATCTGAAGAAAGTTTTTTTCCTTGAAACTTTACGCTCTGTCACACGCGCTCAAAAACGCTTGCCTGTGTAAATTAAATGATTTTTATGAAATTGCGGACGAACGTTGGCGTCGTTGGCACACTTTAACATAAAATCTTTGGCAAAGAGAACGGGGAGGAATATTCGAATATAGAACGGTAGTATCATACCATTCGTAAAACTTAAATGCTTCAGTCACACTACAAGGCAAAAGCTCAAAGTGAACAGTTCTTTTTACAAGAATACTTTTAGGCTTAAAGCACTAAAACAAGCAAGAAATATCAGTGGGAAATATGCAAAGCAAAGATAGGGTAAACAATATTTTAAGCTAAGTCCAAGTACCTATTATGTAAATAATTAATTACAAACTATTGGTTTACCGAAGCCGCGACCATTGATTTTGCAGTCGCGAGGCTTGTGCCATCGGCTATGCGGCCGTCGAGACTGGCGGACAAATGATAAAAGTTGTCAAACATTTGTATTTTTTATTATGCAATGCAAGCGATAATCAAAATTTTCATAAATCGATTATGAGAACTTTCAGACTTCAGATTCAGCGATAAGTAACGAGGTTTGTGAAAAAATATCATTGAGCTCTCAAGCTAATAACGCACAAAAGTATATGCGATGGACAGTGAAAATTACAGCCGTGTACGTGTGTCTATGTTGCTTGGCTGTCTATTGATCCCGTGAGTTTCTTGAGAGCAGGCTGTAGCGGCCTTTACTTAAAAATGTATAGTTATATGTATATTTGAAAATTAGCTAAAAGTCGCGATTTCCATCAAACACCATTGATGACAGCTAAGTCCAATAAGCTACAAACCATGAAACAACTACAAAACCATAGTGTGTATTTTAAACAAGATGGCTCGACAACTTATCTAGTCAGCCGAAAAAAAAATTCATTATTTGAAAATTGAAAGAAGAAGAAAAAAATCCATGTTGTATTGTTTTTATACAATGAGCTGCTTATGCTTACGTAGAATATTATATAATATTTATAGTATTGTCACATATTTTTCATCGAGTTTATTATTTGATGTTCTAAAGCGAATCGACGATTCATTTCAAATCGAATGCAATGTCTTCTTTGTTGTATTTGTTTGCTATATACACATACGCGGCTATATACTTTGGCGGTTTTTTTCGGCTAGGCATCGTGAGTAATAAATAAATCATTGGATTACACTTTTGTGGATTTTTTTAAACAATAACTTTTTTAATTTAAATTTCAATCGAATTTTTCTATTAAGAAAGGAATGTAGTGGAAAAGATGCGTTTAATGTGTCACTCATCTCGTTTGTAAGGAGTAGAGAAAATTTGCAAGAAAAATTTTTATGTTTGTCATACGACCGAAAAATGTAATCATAAATCTTCTTAAAATCAAAGTAAGGTCAGTGGTACATGAGAAATTGAACTATTTGTCTAAGACGCATCGATATCCGATCCTATCATCCGAATAATTCGCTAATTGCTTTTCATTACAACCGTTATACATATTAGCATCTAAAAGATGGACTTATTTGATCCAAATTTCCTACCGTTTATTTTTTTTGCTGAATTACTGCTATGGACCAATGTTTGCCACAATGGACCAATGTTTGGCTTACTATTCATGAGAAGAAGTCTTATACGTAATGGGGTCCAACAAACAGATCCATGTGATTCAAATTTGATGCACTTAATGGTTACGTTAAATCACTATCATGAACCAATTTTCATCATAAAATATCAATAATTAGACCTTGTTGGCATTCAAAGGTTTCCATTTCCTGATCATCCTTATATGCGATGACATCCAAAAAAATAGACCTCTGTGGTGTCCAATTTCGGTAAGGTTGACTTTTGCATTATTATTATTATTATTATTAATAATTTCGCCAGAGAAATAAATTCTAAGACTAAACTCTTAAAAGTACTAGTATCTAAGGCTATTAATTTTTTTTTTTTTTTTTTTTTTTTTTTTTT